ATACTTAGTCTGATGAATAAAGATGCCTAGGTCAGTTTGATGAATTTGTATACCAAGAAAGTAATTTAATTCTCCCATGAGACTCATCTCAAATTTGCTTTTCATAGTAGAATAGAACTCATCACACATTTCCTGGTCAGTGCTACCAAACACAATATCATCCACATATACTTGAACTATTAATGAGTGAGAGTTTTTACGTTTTATGAACAATGTTTTGTCTACTCCACCTTGACAAAATCCTTGAGAGGTCAGAAATGAAGTAAATTTTTCATACCAAGCTCTCGGAGCCTGTTTAAGACCATATAAAGCTTTAGACAGTTTGTAAACATGATCAGGAAATTCACAGTCAGTGAATCCAAGGGGCTGTTCAACATAAACATCCTCCTTGATTTCACCATTTAAAAAACCACTTTTCACATCTATTTGGAACAGTTTGATATTCATATAGCTTGCATAGGCACAGAGAAGGCGAATTGATTCAAGTCTAGCTACATGAGCAAAGGTTTCATCATAGTCTATCCCTTCCTCCTGGTTGTAACCTTGGGCAACTAGTCTAGCCTTGTTTTTAATTATGTATCCAAGGTCATCAGATTTATTTCTGAAGATCCATTTAGTGCCTATAACAGAGATGTTAGAGGGTCGAGGTACTAGTTTCCAAACATTTAGCCTAATAAAGTGAGATAGTTCTTCTTGCATAGCAAGTAACCACTCTTCATCCATAATGGCTTCCTTAAAGTTTTTAGGTTCAAGCATAGAGACAAAATCATACTGACCTGGGATGTGCTTACCTATGGTTTGAACAGGGTCAGCTAGGGTACCTATGATTAAAGAGGGTGGATGTCTTTTTCTGATGTGAGATGGAGCTTCCACATTGTCCTGATTTGCAGTTGAGTCGAGCACAGGTGGTACTGAGTCGTTTGACTCAATGTCAAGAGGATCTTCACTATCGGGCTTATTACATGTCTCAAGAGAGGTGCTAAGAGGCAGAAAATCATAGTTATTTATACCAGAGTGCAAGGGCAGGGATGGATGGGAAGAATCAAAGTGAACATGCACTGATTCTTCAACTTTTCTAGATCTCTTATTGAAAACTCTATAGGCTTGACCCTTACTGGAGTAACCAAGGAAGATCCCTATATGTGACTTTGCATCAAATTTTCCAATTGATTCTTTAGTATTTAAAATGAACCATTTGGTTCCAAAAGGCTGAAAATAGGACAATTTAGGAGTTTTTCCTTTTAAAATTTCATAGGGAGTTTTTTTGACTATTTTTCGAATAGTAGTCCTGTTCAAGACATAGTAGGAAGTATTGACTGCTTCTCGCCAGAGAAACTTAGGACAGTTAAATTCCAAAAGCATGGTTCGAGCAGTTTCAATGAGAGATCTGTTTTTCCTCTCCACAACTCCACTCTGTTGTGGAGTTCTAGGAGCTGAGAAAGTATGTAATATACCTAGTTGATCACAGAAGCAATTAAAGCTATCATCAATGAATTCACCACCATTATCACTCCTGATGCTCTTGACAACACAGTCATATTGATTTTGGACAAGAGTAACAAAAGACTTCAACTTGGAGAAGGCTTCATCTTTGGATGACAGAAAAAATACCCAGGTGAACCTGGAATAGTCATTAACTATGACAAGCACATAAGAATTTCCACCAAGGCTTTGGACATTGGTGGGACCAAAAAGATCCATATGCAAAAGTTCAAAGGGGCTGTAGATGTAACATCCTGTTTACTTTTGAAGGACTTTTTACAGTGTTTTCCTAGAATGCATGCTTCACAGGTGAATTTGTCTGATGCTTTGATTAAAGGCCGTCCTCCAACAATGTTTAGTTTAGAGAGTTTAGCAAGTCAAGACATGCTCATGTGTCCTAGTTTTCTATGCCAGTTGATCACAGAGTCGGATATGGAGCTCAAGCGTATGTCCTCAGAGAGGTCTAGTGTGGACAGATCTACTATATACACATTGTTAATTTTCTTTCATCTGAATATAACAGAATTGTCAGAAATGAGTTCAATGATGCAGCAAAATGGATCAAATGTAACACGATAGGCAGACCCACAAATTTGACTAATAGAAAGAAGATTGTGCTTTAAGCCATCAACATAGAGGACGTCTTCAATTATTAGGGAAGAATTGCTGCTAACAGTTCCTTTCCCAACAACTGAAGCACAATTGTTATTGCCATAGAAAACCTTACCTCCTCTTTTTGGGTTTAAGAAAGAAAACAGGTCTTTGTTACCTGTCAAGTGGTGAGAGCATCCATAATCTAAGTACCAGATGTTACCACCTTTATTGTTCTGAAAGGAAAAGAAATTAATTAGAAGTTTTAACAACCCAAACAAGTTTGGGTTTTGGTTTCCTGTAATGACAATGAGTATAATTGTGACCAGACATACTAAATTTAGAGCATAACAGTCGGTATTTCCTAGAGTCAGAAAAGTTCATGGAGTTCAGAAATTTATGTGGTTCACCAAAGGAGTGAAATCTCTGATCTAGATAAAACCTTCTAGTGTTTTTATTCAACACTTTGTGACATTGGTAAATTTGTCTTTTAAGTTCTTTGTTTTCAATTATGAGATTAGCAACTTGTGTGTCTTAACTGGATTGAGCAGCTTGTTGATTATCAACAAGCTTCTTAAGTCGACAAATTTCAGTTTCCTTCTCATGCAGGTGAGTAACAGTGAGACAAAACTTGCTCTTTAGTAGTAAGTTGCATTCATTTTGGAGATTGGACAGGGCATGAAGAAAGAAGTCTTCATGGCAAGATTCAGAGACTGAGTCTGAGAAGGAATCAGACCATACCTTTTCAGTTGATGTGTCCTCTCCTGAGTTGGAGTTGAGTCCCATGTAAGCAACCACTTCAGGTTCATCTTCAGAGCTGTAGTCGCTCCATGAAGCAGTCATTGCTTGATCTCTCTTTTTGTTCAGTGGGCAATTTGCTCTTATATGTCCTGTTTTCCCACATTTAAAACAAATAGTTGAGTCAGATTTGTCATCTGAGTTCTTAAAGTCTTTAGGACCAGAGTCTGATCTGTTGGTCACAAATGAATTTTTGTCATTTGCTCCACCAGAATGATGTCCAGATGATCTAGGGGCATTATGATACATGTTTCCTGTGGATCTGGAAGAGCATTACTCCCCCGTTTTGTATTAAGATCATGTTTAAATTTCATCATTCTTTGAAGTTTCTTGTTGGTAAGGGCAAGTTCATTTTCAAATTCGTCATCTAATTTTTCATCTTCTACAGCACATACAGATTGAAAGGCGATTGTTTTGTTTTTCTTATCACGAAGAGAGTTCATTTGTTTGAGAACTTCTGCATGACTAAGAAGAGATCCAATGAGATTTTCAAGTGAAAGGACATTGAGGTCCTTGGCTTCCTCAATGGCTGTTCTTTTAGCTATCCATTCAAGGAGAAGAGTCCTAAGTACTTTTCTAACAAGTTCTTTGCTTGTGAAAGATTTTCCTAATCCCTTGAGTCGATTGACCAAGGTAGAAAATCTTTTATCCATTTCTGAAATGGATTCACCAGAAATCATGTAAAAGGTTTCATATTCTTTTAGCAATAAATCAATCCTGGTTTCTTTAACTTCTGATGTTCCTTCATGAGTAGTTTCTAGAATTTGTCATATTTCTTTAGCAAATTCACATTTGTTCACTCTTTCACCCTCATCTTCAGATATAGCAGAAAGCAGTATATGCATAGCCCTATAGTCAAGTTGAGCACTTTTCTTTTGTTCATCAGACCATTCCTCCTCATCGTCTTCTTTCATGTCAATTGGTCCATTTCGGAAAATTGCCCATAAATCACAGTCGATTTCTCGGAGGAAAAGGCGCATTCTTTTTTTCCATACCGAGTAATTAGAACCAGAAAACCAGGGAGGGTTTGAACTAGTTGGAAATGAGTTTGAAGACATAGCAAGGCAGAGGATCTCCTTCTTGGCAACGCTAGGTTCTTACGAAAAAGAGGCTCTGATACCAATTGTTGGACTGCTATGTATTCAATTCCATAATCTTAACTTGAGTAATCAAGCAATAGAATCAATGATTCTTTTCAGTACTGGAATAATTTCAATTAGACAGAGAAGATTAACTATGAAGACCTAACAATCTCAATTCCAGGGTTCGAAAAACAAAATTGAAACCTGAACTATAGGTAATCAAAGACGAAAGAGAACACAAGAAAAAGCCACGCCTAGATAAGCTTGAATTCCTGGCAGAGTGCCCCAATTCAAGCTAATCCAGACACAAACACCGAACCCAATCCAGAGACTCCCAAGGAACAAACCCGTTCTTATTGACTCAAGGAAATCGTTGCCCATCTTCTTCCTGGCGAGGTCTTTATATAGCACCAGCCATGCCAATCTTCTGTCTGTCTTCTTCAATGCTGGTTACCGTTAAAGGAGAATTGATGATGGCGACGATCGATGGACAGGCGACTCAGGGTTGAGGGGATCGATCGACTTCGAAGATACTGATGACAGGGGTAAAGGCGAAGACGCGTAAATGGGCTTTTAGCGAGGTTGCACAGATGAAGCAACTGGACCAGGTGGGCTAAAGTGATAGTGGGCCTTTTTGGTTCTTTCAAAGACACGAGTCAAGGCCCAACATATTAATCCTTCAAAAGAGAAGGAATCCGGTGGTTGGACCTCTTCGAGGTGGGCAACAACATTTGATTGTCTCTGGAAAACCCATTCATCAGACTGCGTAGGGAGAAGGGATTTCAGAGTGTTATGTAGGTTGCAGAACTCGAATCTGGCTAGATTTGCCCCCTTATTTCGTTCATTCCACCTTGTTCTAAGTTCTAACTAGCTCTTAGTCCGACGAGGGAGGGTGCGGGTGGCAGTCATGGACGATGTGGCTGGAAGAGAAGATGAAGCAGAATCGTCCCAGAGAAGCTTCTAGTCGATGAAGCTGAATCGTTCCGGTGATGGTGGCCGGAATGGATTCCACTTTTCTTTGTTTGTTGTATTAAGGGATTCCAACTTGATTTACCTATTCTTTTATTAAATTTTAAATTTAATATAATTTGGAATAAAAAATAATCTGATGTGGCATCTACGTTGGTCGTGGCTGTCACATTTTTTTGCCACATCATCAAAAGTCAATATTGTTTTGACCAACATCTTATCAACCGTCATCTCTAGTCTCTACGGCCAACAAAAATGTCAGGATACAAATAACACAAACTTATAATGAGAAGATATGATTAGATTATTAGATAAAATAGGAAATCTTTGACATTTAGACTATTGTAGGTAGTAATACACTTTTATTTTTTATATTACACGGTTGAATCGCTCATCACCCATATCGTATATCACAGATATATTTATTTTAATTAGCAGTCACATCGATCACAATTCACAAGTAAAGAAACGTTTTGTTCTTAAAAAGTAATTAAGGATCCAATCCGATATCATGCTTGAGCAGAAGAACCGAAGAGAGGATGATTGTGATTGTGGCCGCCATCCACAATCAAGTTGAGCCCACTCACATACTTGGCAGCGTCGCTCGCCAGATACAGCGCCGCCCTGGCAACATCCTCCGGCTCCAACACCGCCCCTCTCAGGTTCCCCGCCGCCGACATGAACTCCTCGGCCGCCGCCTTATCCATCTGCATGCCACGCGTCACCATGGGAGTGGCCACCCCGTACGGCGAAACAGTGTTGACCCGAATCCCATACTTCCCCATCTCCACCGTCAGATTATTCGCCAGCCCCAACATCGCGTGCTTCGACGCCTTGTAGGCGTACGACAGATCCCCGCTGATCGACGACGCCACGCTTCCGGTGAACAGGATGCAGCCTTTCCTCGCCGGGATCATCACCCTGGCGGCGTGCTTGGCCCCGAGGAAGGATCCGAACAGGTTGATTTCAAGCACCTTTTTGAAGTCGGCGTTGTCGGAGTTCAAGATGGTGGTGTCGAGGTTGCCCCCGATTCCGGCGTTGTTGTACATGACGTCTAGCTGTCCGTAACGTGACACCGCTGTGTCGACGGCGTTTGCCACGTCGGAGTCGACGGTGACGTTGCAGTGGACGAAGGAGACGGTTTCCTGGGGGCCGAGTTCCGCGGCGAGGGACTGGCCCAGTTTGTCTTGGAGGTCGGCGATGAGGACCTTGGCGCCGTGGTGGACGAACAGCCTGGCGACGCTCTCGCCGATGCCGCTTGCTCCGCCGGTGATGAGGGCCACCTTGCCTTCTAGCCTGCAATGTAAATAGTATATAAAATCGATGACGTTTCTGCTGGAAGCAATTCATGTATTTATTTATATATAGCTTGTAAACTATAGGCATATGTATCAGATTGACGTACGCCTTGGTAACGGTGGGTGCACAGAAATCAGAGCCCATGTCGATTAACTTGGTGGAGAAATTCGGAAGACTGATCGAAATGAAGAAGAAAAGAGATGTGGTTTTGAGAAAGGTTTGTGTGTGTGATTATTTAGGCTGATGTGTTGGCTCTATTTATACAGGCCAAAGGTAGCATGTGGCAGAGGCGGCTGCGTTTCATCCTTTTGATTTCGTCAAGTTCTTTAAGACGCGGCGTAGAAGTCAAGTCTGTATATAGGATTTTATTTCAAACCTTTTGCATTCTCTGGTGTTCTATAGATAAGGACCATTATTTAGGAGTAGAGAGTCTTTTCTTGTTTTCTAATGTTGAGATTTGAAGAAGGAAAAGAAAATTTGTCCTGCCGCACACAATCAGAAATTGGCGGTCCTATTTACATGTATCAACTCATCAAACTTGCTAGTCAATAATTTGGATGGATTTATAGGAGATAAAAGTGAGAAGTGTTTAAATTGTTTGTTTGTGTGTTTTTTTAATTGATGTATAGTATTTATGACAATATAAACCTAAAATTTAGATAATTTATGAATGCTAGTAGTTTTTATGGAATATATTTCTAAGGAAAATTTTGATAACATTACGATTTGAGTGTTCGAAGAATTAATGTATGGTTATATATGTTCATGAACCCATGAGTACTCATTGGGTTGTGTTTTCTCTTCTAAAATCCAATGTGTATTTTATCGAATTTTATTGATGTGTGCACCCACTGGGTTTGATTTGGGTTTAGAGAAACCCAACTCGTGTCATAATCCCTACCCACAACCCCATCGTATACACCCACTACCAATCCAACCCAACCCGAAAAATGTGGCTAGATAGCTTATCACAATTGTGTCAACGCAAATTAGTCCATTGCACTCAACGCACCCTAAATATTACCATACGGTAAAATCTTTATAAATTTGTACTCGATAAATTAATATTACCATATAGTGAAATCTCTATAAACTAGTACTCGATAAATTAATAATTTCTCTTATTTTGAGTTCGGCCAGTGTAAAAAATGAGCAAATTTAATAAAATAATAAGATAATAATTTTTGAGAACCAACCTACATAATACATGTATTTTCAATTCTATAAATGAATAGTTGTAAGAATATAATTCATCAAAAAATTTATAATATAACTAGGATAATCTAGCAAAATATGAATCTATAGTTGTTTGTTTCTTCTTGAATATCAAGTCTATTATACGTTCATCATAAACTTCCCTAATTGACTAAAAATCAACGGTATTGTCTTATGTAATTTTAAAGAGTATTTTTGAAAAATTGATGTGGCTTTAACTACTTTCTGTCGCGTGATCGATTTCGAAGGTGTTGAGTCATCATCTCTTTCATTCTCAATTAAACTCCCAATGAATATATAATACAATGAACCTTAAAGGTTAAGTTTATCAAAATATAACAAATTATATATACTGGTACTAAACTAAAATTAATATATACCACGTATGAATATAATGTTGAGGTTATAAGGTCGTTTACGTTAACGAAATGTACATTATAACCTCTTTAAATTAATAAAATATTGATCTATCGGTTAATTAATAACTACTATAAATTCACAATTTTCACGGTCCCGATTAAAGATTTTATTATATATGGCTGACTTTTTGTCAATGCTATATTGCAATTTTGATTTGACTATCCATGCATGCAGTAATATGTCTTATAATGATGTCTTCGTTGACACTCAAACCGTGGAGAAGTTAATATTCTCTCCTGCTATTTATTTTAAAGCCTATTTTATTGAAATTCAATCCGAATAGCTCCAACTATAATTAGACTTAGTAAAATGATAATCCAGACTATGAATTGGCCGAATCGTCATAGCTTGACCTTGACCAACCGGGCCGGAGAGGGAGCATTAATGAATAGACTTAGTAAAATGTCAACACGTCCTCCCTCGTAGCGGAGTTGAAAACTGGCCAGTGCCATGGTCCGATACAACGTATTATTAATTCCTCTATTCAGAAAAATCATCCGTCGCATTCGCATGCCATACTTCTGGTATTGTCATCTAGATTCTAAGACTTTAGGCGATTATATACAACGCCGATGATACCTCATGTATGCATCGTTTGGAATTTTTTACTAGAAACTTAGAAAGGCATTCTGTAACTCATCATGGATTCGTACTTTTGGGTAAGAAATGAGAAGCCTAATGGAAAACCATGTCCGACACTTGAAATTTAAGTGATGTCGGATAATGACCAAATGTTATACACTGTTTCCTAAACCCTGAAACCTATCTCTTCTCATTTCAGTGTCAATTTATATAGCTGGATCTAGGGATGACAATCAAACCCATGGTCCGACCGCTCCCTACCCAGTCAACGCGGGGAATCCCCGCTTTGACCGGGTATGGGTAAAACTCGCAAAAAGTTTGATGGGTATGGGGCGGGTATAGTTTTGGCCTCCCCTGCCCCATACTCATACCCATACCCGCCCCACCAAGAAAATTTCTTCACATATAAAAAAATATGTGGATTAAACTGTAATCTATCAATGGTGATGAGGATAACTCGAGGAAATAAATAGTAGAGATGCAATTGAGTGACCACTTTAATCAAATTCTAATTCATTTCCCTCAATTCTCCTTTCACTCTTTCACTTTTTCACTTGTCAACAAAACTATGTTAGTTAGTTATTACTTAGTAGATGCATCGGAGTTAGAAGATAATAATTTGAAAAATATTATACTCTATATTATGTATTAATGGATGTTTTAGAATCATATACTTTGAACCTTATTAAGCAAATGACCGTGTTTTGTTGACTTCATAATATAATAGGTTCGTTAAGAGTTATAATTAAAAAATTTCTTGTAAGTTTTAGGTATAATAATGTTGGATGTACGAGTACAGGTATTACCCATGGGTACCCGAATCCACAGGTATGGGGATGAGTTTGCAAAACATTCCCCGCATGGATATGGGGCGGGTATGTGTTTATGTATTTGAAAATGGGGATGAAGATGGTTTAGACAAGCCCGTCCCAAACCCATTGCTATCCGCCTGGATCATGTGGTCTAAAGTCACTTACGGAAGGCTAGAAGATGAAAATGTTGCTTCTGATGCAAGTACAATCCAAAAGGGAAACTATGTAGAAAAATAGAACAACCAGGTAGTGAAATCAAATATGCCTGTCTAAGCCTTCCTTTTCCTAAAATGATGCCGCTCTAGGCCCGGGTCTGTTCCTTCTAACTTGATGAAACATCATCGATACAGTTGTGTGTTTGTTCCTTCTGATTTGTCAAAACGTCATCTTAAATCATATGGTATGGTATGATGGGCTTGTGCAAACTACAAATTCATGATTTCATTTTCGTTTGATAGGGGTATATAAGAAAGTGTTAAATATCATATATTTCTCTCTCCCAACAACTCGAATTATTGAGATCAGTTGGTTTATGACACTATGAGCAGCATCCAACACATTGGGAAGAAAATGAGAAAAGAAGTGTCTCATGAATCAATACACTTATCAAGATGACCATCTTAGCATAGGCTCTCTAAAAGCACATGGCAAGAGTATGACTGGACAAAAAGTTCTACGTTTCATATCCCGTCTCTCAGTTTTATTTTTATTAGACCGTCGAATTGCTCTCAGCACCATATCATGGATATGTTTATTTTAATTAACAGCTACATTATGTTTTGAATCAGATTATCTGGAGCTACGACGGGATGTCACCAGGTTCTATGGGCTTAATGTTGTTTATGTTTGTATTTTGGGTCTAGTTGTAACCGTTTTTCTTTATCATATTGTATTGGGGTTAGACCATGAAGAAGTACTATAAATACTTCTCATACTCCTATGTAATTATCTGTATTTTCTATAAATATAGTGAAACTCTTCGTGAACTAGTGTCATCTTGATGATACCACGTTAAAAAAACTCTTGTGTTCATCGATTTAGCTAGTATTTTGACATATAAGTGCTTTTAGAGATTTTTGGGAAGATAAAAAGGATGACAACTGGACACTCATGAAGTCAGGATATTGATCATGTAGACAAAAGCACATAGCCAGAGTCGCACTTCACAAAAAGCTCTATATATGTTCATATCTCGTCTCTTAATTTTATTTTTTATTAACACTGTCGAGTTGCTCATCACAATTCACCATATCATAGTACATCATGGATATGTTTATTATAATTAGCAGCCACATTGATCACAAGTAAAAAAAAAAAAAACGTTTTTCACCCTTTCATATAAACACAAGTAATTAAGGAGCTAACGATCGATCCAATCCGATATCATGTTTGAGCAGAAGAACCGAAGAGAGGATGATTGTGATTGTGGCCGCCATCCACAATCAAGTTGAGCCCACTCACATACTTGGCATCGTCGCTCGCCAGATACAGCGCCGCCCTGGCAACATCCTCCGGCTCCAACACCGCCCCTCTCAGGTTCCCCGCCGCCGACATGAACTCCTCGGCCGCCGCCTTATCCATCTGCATGCCACGCGTCACCATGGGAGTGGCCACCCCGTACGGCGAAACAGTGTTGACCCGAATCCCATACTTCCCCATCTCCACCGTCAGATTATTCGCCAGCCCCAACATCGCGTGCTTCGACGCCTTGTAGGCGTACGACAGATCCCCGCTGATCGACGACGCCACGCTTCCGGTGAACAGGATGCAGCCTTTCCTCGCCGGGATCATCACCCTGGCGGCGTGCTTGGCCCCGAGGAAGGATCCGAACAGGTTGATTTCCAGTACCTTTTTGAAGTCCGTGTTGTCGGAGTTTAGGATGGTGGTGTCGAGGTTTCCTCCGATTCCGGCGTTATTGTACATGATGTCTAGCTGTCCGTAACGTGACACCGCTGTGTCGACGGCGTTTGCCACGTCGGAGTCCACGGTGACGTTGCAGTGGACGAAGGAGACGGTTTCCTGGGGGCCGAGTTCCGCGGCGAGGGACTGGCCGAGTTTGTCTTGGAGGTCGGCGATGAGGACCTTGGCGCCGTGCTGGACGAACAGCCTGGCCGCGCTCTCGCCGATGCCGCTTGCTCCGCCGGTGATGAGGGCCACCTTGCCTTCTAGCCTGCAATATAGAGTATACAAAATGGAGGACGTTTCAGCGGGAAGCCATTGATATATTTATTTATTGATAACTTGTAAACAATAATCGAAACGTACGCCTTGGTAACTGAGGGTGCACAGAAATCAGAGCCCATGTTGAGTAACTTCGTGGAGAAATTCGGAAGACTGATTGAAATGAAGAATAAGAAGAAGAAGAAGAAGAGAGATGTAGTACTTGTGCTTTGATGGTGGTTTTGAGAAAAAGGTTTGTGTGATTGTTTAGGTTTATGTGTTGGCTCTATTTATACAGGCAAAAATTAGCATGTGGCAGAGGCGGCTGCTTTTGGTCCTTTTGATTTTGTCAAGTTGTTTAAAGACGCGGGATACAAGTCTGTTATCTGTATGTAGGATTTTTTTCCAAACCTTTTGCATTCTCTGGTAACCTATAGAGATAGGAACTATTATTGGCTAGAAAGTCTTTTCTTGTTTTCTTGTGTTGCGACTTTAAAAAAGTGAAGAAAATTTGTCCTGCCCGCACACAACCAGGAATTGGCAATCCTATTTCTGAAGTTTTGTGCTCTTCTTGAATGACTCCTTCTGAGTTTTGTGCTCTTCTTGTTGTATTTCTGAAGCTCAGATTGAGCATTTATGGGCTTTTGTTTTTCTGTCCTTGTTCTATTTTTAGTTTGCTTTGTTGGCTCTCTTGTAATTGATCTTTCAAAGTGCAATGCAAGTATTCCCTTTGTCAAAAAAAAAAAAAAAAAGGCAATCCTATTTACATGTTGTCCTATCAACCATGGTAAAGGAAACCGTACCGGATATCATACCGGATTTCTTTCTGGTATGGTATTTTGTGGTACGACCGTGGTTCAACCGTTTTGTACCGGTAAATACCGTTTTTCACTATTGATAGAGAAATGAAATACGATACTATAAAAAATATAATCCATCAAAAAAAGAACCAAATAGAGCATTATACAACCACGGTGACCCATTTTCAACATAGAAAAATAGCAAAATAATATTCTTTTTTAATTATTTTCTACATATTGGACGAGAATACGTAGAAATGAAGCTGAATCATAGACCAGGAAACCGGATCGTACCGGCCGGTTCAACCGGTCAAACCAAAAAACCGGACGGCACGGTAAAATCAGCACAAACAGCCCACCGTACCGCTTTTGGTCCAATTTCCAGTTGAACCGGCCGGTACGATCCGGTTTCCTGGTCTATGCTATCAACTTGTTAATAAGTGGTGAACTATAAAATTTGTATGATCAATAAAAATCTTTACATGTTATAAGATTGGACGGATTTATAAGAGATAAAGTGAGAAATATCTTAATTGTTTGTGTCTTTTTAATTTGCGAGCAACTTATTATATTTTAAGTTTCAATGTAAAACCATTTCAATATATAGTTTTACAAAACTAGATATACTGGGTGTAATTTCGGAAGAAAGTATCTAACCATATCATAATAGTATAATAGTATTGTTTGTCCTATCGTTGTGGTAAGATCACGATATGTTAGTGTTAAGATATATGTCAAGCTCCATGAGCAGAAGAGAAGGAAGAAGAAGGTGAACTTGAAGCCCCTGTTCGACAACGGTCAAATGAAAGAAGGAGGGAAGATGGAACTCACTGTTTGACCACAAGGAAGAAAGAGGCTAAAAGCAAACGACATCGTACAGATTAGATAGTGTACAGCTGCTGCGTTTTATGTTATTAGTTGTAGCTAGTGATAAGCTGACACTTGTCTCGTTTTTTATGGACAAGGCAGTTAGAGTTATTTTGTCTTGTAGTTTCGATTTTGCTGTACATATACCTGCAGCTTTGCTGCTAATGAGATCACAAAATCATCCCACAAATTCTGACTTTTTACAATTATTCTCATGGTATCAGAGCAGCTGGCTTACTTCTTTTAGGGTTTCATGACCTTGCCGACGTTCATCAATGGCGGGCGCTTAGGAAGACCCGACGTCATACAACACACAAGCAGCTACCACAATTGCATCTTCTCAGCAAACACAATGCCAAGCTGTTGATCCTTACTACATCAATCCAAATGAAAACCTGTCTCAAGGTATTATCTCTGTCAAACTAGATGGTACTAACTACCATGTATGGAGCAGATCCATGCGAATAGCTCTCAAAACCAAGAAGAAACTTGGGTTTATAAATGGTACTTTACCTATGCCTCAACCAACTAATGATGATTTTGAGATATGGGATCAGAGTAACACCAATGTCATGGGCTGGATTTTAAATTCGCTCACAGACCCCATTGCTGAAGCTGTCATGGATAATGAAACTGCTCAGGATTTATGGAAAGATCTCCGGGAAAGATATGGAGAAGCAGATTCGATTAGGCTAGCTCATGTTAAAGGATTGATATCCTCCTGTAAGCAGGAGAACAACACTATCACTGAGTACTACAATAGATTGGGAGTACTTTGGACATAATACATGTCATTCAAATCAATCCCAGCATGTGAATGTGCAAATGTTCCTCATACTATGACTTGTGTGACTTATGCTGCTGTCAAAGAGTCACAGGAGCAGGATCACGCCATTTACTTCATCATTAGTCTGAATGACACCTTTCAAATGACCAATAATCAACTTCTGATGATGGATCTAGATCCAAATCTCAAAGTTGCATACAAGTATGCACTAAAGCTAGAAAGGCAGATGGCTAAGCAACCAACTAAGGAGGCTGCTGGAGTAGATTCAGTAGCATTCGTAGCAGTGAATCAAGGAAGAAACAAAGACCAGAGAAATGAATACCCGAAAGGAGCAAGACAGAACTCCTACCAAGGGAACTATCCAAACAATTATCCAAACAACTATCAAAAGGTAGCGATGAATCAAGTGGAGGAAGCCAACAAATTATTTTTTGCAATTATTGCAAGAAAACTAATCATGTCATAGAAGATTGTTGGAGACTGAAGAGGAAGAGAGGAGAACCAGCAGGACCAAACTTGCAGCAGCTACATCTAGTGGTGTTCATGATCAAAGAAACACAAACTACTCAGCAGGAGTTGAACAGGACAACAGGAATCAGAGTACTACTACTCTACAACTCACTGCTGAAGACTGCAACAGACTTATGATGCTGCTACAACAGAATGTTGGAACTCCAACATCACATCAGCCTAGTATACAGCCTCAGGCTCACTCAGTATCAAGGCACATCAACAAAATGCCAGACAATGCAGGTAAATATATATTGTCCACATTTACTACTTGTCAACAGAAAGAATTGTTAAATACTTCGATTATTGACACTGGTGCATCTGATCATATGCGCTGTAGCCTTACCTTTTTCACAACCTATCATCCAGTAGAAAACCTGTTTGTCACCTTACCAACCAGTGCTAGAATCAAAGTAGCACATATTGGAACTGTCAGAATAAACAACAACCTCACCTTAAACAATGTTCTACATGTCCCTAGCTTCACTTTCAATCTCATTTCTGTCAGTTCCCTAACCAAAACATTGCCAATCACCCTAAGCTTTTTAGACCGTAGTTTAAAGAAAACTGAAGATTCAAAAAAGCGATACTAAACAAAGGACAATCTGACTTTTGTGTTGTTCAGGACCTTCATACACAGAAGAAGATTGGTTTTGCGAAAGAGCTTAGAGGATTATACCACCTTCAAACATCCATACCCAGTCTAGACCAAGACATCAGCTTAGTGGCAGTAGTGAGCAGACCTACCAATGAAGACATGCATATATGGAATGCTAGATTAGGCCACTTATCCAATTCTAGAGTTAGACTATTTCAAAAGTGTAATCCTGAAATCCCAGTGAATGTCATTAGTCACTGTGAAACATGTCATTTTGCTAGAAAAAAGAAGTTACCCTTTCCTTCGGGTGCTCATAACTGCACACAACCTTTTGAAATTATACATTGTGACATTTGGGGTCCTCTCAATACCCCTTCCTATGATGGTTTCTCCTACTTTTTGACCATTGTAGATGATTTTTCTAGAGCAGTCTGGGTTTACCTTATGAAAACCAAATCAGAAGCAAGGCCTCTTTTACAGCAGTTTTGTACCATGGTCCAAAAACAATTTGATAAACCAGTTAAAACTATCAGATCTGACCAAGGGAAGGAATTCCATATGGCATATTACTTTAGAGACCATGGTATTTCCCACCAATTGTCCTGTGTAGAAATACAACAACAAAATGGAAGAGTGGAACGTAAACATCAAGAAATTTTGAACATAGCAAGAGCCTTGAAATTCCAATCTAGTGTCCCTATGCCCTTTTGGAGTGACTGTGTTCTTTATACTGTCCACATCTTAAACAGACTACCTACACCCATCCTAAACAACAAAACTCCCTTTGAAAAAACTCTATAACAAACCACCAGACTACTCTCCCCTTAGAGTCTTTGGATCATTGTGTTATGCCACCACTCTAGAGTCAGGAAGAACCAAATTCCAACCTAGAGCAAGGAAAGGGATGTTACTTGGCATTCTTCCAGGAATCAAAGGATACAAGGTGTATGACCTCAACACCAAACAAGTTTTTGCATCCAGAGATGTATTTTTCCATGAAAACATTTTTCCTTTTGCCACTCCTGCCACCACCTCACAACTTCCACAAACCAACAACACCTCTCCTTTTGTCCCTTCATCTCTAACCCCTCAAACTCCTATCCATTCCCCAGCCCATAATCATTTGCATACAGGTCTTGATTCAGGTATTAATACAGTTCCTACTGTACCACTTTCACCTGGTTCTATTCCCTTTGAGGATGAATATGATGCTGAATTCATCGATGAAGTAGAAGGAGAAGGGGGGACAACACCAACAAATTCAAATTCACATCTATCTCCAACAAATCAGCCTCAATCATTGAGGAGGTTTGACAGGACAGTTCATCCTCCCTTGTGGCATGAGGACTATTTTGTTGGAAGCTCACAAAGCAAGTATCCAATATCTTCTTTCATGGATTACTCACAGCTTAGTCAACAGCACAAACACTACTCCATTGCAGTAACCAACTTACAGAACCACAAACTTTTGATCAAGCCATGTTAGAAGAATGTTGGAGAGAAGCAGTTAGAGAGGAACAAAAGAGCTTTGATAGCTAATCACACATGGGACATAGTGGATTGTCCTGTGGGAAAGAAGTTGTTTGGAAACCAATGGATATTCAAGATAAAACTCCTAGCAGATGGGTCAATAGAAAGATTCAGGGCAAGACTGGTGGCACAAGGGTTCACACAAGTACCATGAATTGACTTCCTGGATACCT